ACCATACTCATTACTGGGGATTTTTAAAATCCACCTCACATCACCTGCGAGTCGGCAGCTCCATCAGTCCGGGCGCTGCCAGGACAACGGCCACCACACAGAGCAGCACACAGCCACCACGCTGGCAGGAAGGGGGACACCTTTTCTGTTTTTAAAAAAAAATATCCCCACCAACCATGTCTCCCAGATCCAACAGCTGGTAGCACTTTGGCGTGTGGTGCTACGGGCCACCACCCCCAAGAGGACCATGCTCCTGGATCTCTGAGCAGCCAGGCTGGTACAGAAGAGGTTGACCCATCAAGCAGATGTCCCAAACCCCTGGAAGTTCCCTCCTGCAGACTCCTCACGGCTCTCCACCACACAGGGCCTGGAGGTTGCAGGACAAGTCCATAACCACTGAGGAACTGCACTTCCCACGGAGAAGGTCCCAGCTTCTCCTCCAGCAGTACCAGAGGTCCTTCTCGGTCTCCTCCTCCGTGAGGGGCTGAGACTGACGTAAACCACATTGGGCTGCACTTTGCTGCTTCTCCTGGCACCCTTCGACTCGTGTCTTGGCAATGGGTTCCTGCTCTGGGCACCAGGAGCGTGGTGGGTTTTCTCCTTCCAACTGGGGACAACGCAAAGGTGCTATTGCCAAGTGAGAGCATCTGTCACAGCTGTGTTCTCTCTCTAACTGGAACAGCACCTCCAACAGCGTTCTTTCCCCTCCCCAACACCAACCACCACAAAAAGACTGATCTTTTTGCAGAGCAGACATTGTGCCCGGGGGGGGAGAGAATTCCTCCTTGTCCCTCCCTATCAAAATAGCTTAATCCAGGTAAATAAACAAAATTCTGGAAGACTTGATAAGGATTTTTCATGGAAGCTTCCAGCACAGAAGGTCCGCAAAGGAAGTGATAGAGAAGTGGGAGGAAGCCCTGGGGGACTTCCCTGCAGCCACACTGCCAGGAGCTGCTGGCCACGGGCTGCATCAGGCAGAGTCTCCAGGACACTGGCCAAAGTGCAGCCTGTTCCTGACCAAGGATCATAGGGCCACAGAATGGTTTGGGTTGGAAGGGACCTTAAAACCCACCCAGTGCCACCCCCTGCCCTGGGCAGGGACACCTCCCACCACACCAGGTTGCTCCAAGCCCCCTCCAACCTGCCCTTCAACCCCTCCAGGGATGGGGCAGCCACAGCTTCTCGGGGCAACCTGGGCCAGGCTCTCACCACCCTCACACCAAAGAACTTCTTCCCCACATCTCAGCTCCATCTCCCCTCTTTCAGGGTCAAACCCTTCCCCCTCATCCCATCACTACACTCCCTGATCAAGGGTCCCTCCCCATCTCTCCTGGAGCCGCCCTCAGGCACTGGAAGGCCATTATAAGGTCTCCCTGGAGCCTACAGCACCCAGTATTCCCAGGCGGTCTCCCACCCCACTACTAACCGGATAAACAAGCCTTCTGCACGTGAAAAAGAGAAACCCAAAGAAAAACCAACCACCTTCCCTGCCCCAAAACCTGAAGTTTTGTGCCTACCCTTCCTCCTGCACCCGGCAGGCGCCCCGTGTCCAGCTGAGTGGCAGACAGCGCTGCTCTCACACCAGGGAACCATTTCACTTGTTTTTTCCAGGCAGGGCTCTCCTGGCTGTGGCTCCAGCACAGGGGCAGGCACCGCACCAACGACCCACCCCACACCCTCATCGGCTGCACAAACCCCCCCGAGGTGGGAATCACCCAGCTCCCACCAGGGGACAGCCTGTGCCATCTCCATAGCAATAAATGCAGCCATGCCCTGAATGCAGCAGATTATATATACATATAAGCATTCCAAATCTCTTCAGAAGATTAGATTTTATGGGGGTACCAGAGGAACATATTGTTAATAAACACACTGGGAAAACAGCGCAGGGGACGGGGCTGTCACCTTCACACACATCATGGGGAATCTCCCCCCACGGCCCGAGCCTGGGCACCCCGGGGGAAAAGCAGCAACACCTTCTCTCCTATGACCATCCAAAAACTCGAAAATGAGGTAAAATAACACAGACCAAGATAACCCTCCACTGGCTGCCAGGGAGTGTGTCACCGTTCCCTGTGCTCTAGAGTCCCCAGGAGTTCAGAACAATGCTGGTCCTGCTATTTTTTGAAAGCGAGGACCCCAACTCTCCTCAGTAGCAGCTACATGTTAGAAAAGCGCAGCGACAAGTGACTTATCCCTAAGTCATTGCAAAGAAATTACTACTTATGATTATTTTCCACTCAATTTTCTTGATTCAAGTTTGCCAAACAATCACCTAATTAAAAAAAAAATAGTTAATATTCTGAAGAGTTCAGTCAAAGCCCGGACCTTCATTAGCACAGCATGAATGTGAATTTTGTTTGAAATAATCCCTGGATGTTGGGATGCGCAGAAGGAAGCTGCCAGCAGCAGCACCAGTGCAAACGACCTTGCCCAGCACACGGGTGAGTGCCTGGAGCCCTACCCTGCCAGCAGCTCAAACGGGTAATCCTCTTTACCTAACACGGGATAAAGGGGATGGTACCGGGCTGTTCCGATGCTCTGTGCCTTTATCCTTCAGCTGGCCATCCCCGCTCTACAGGCAAGGAGAGCCAGGACTCCACTTTTAATTCCTGGTGAAGTTCCTCAGTCAGGTCTGCACCTGAACTGGGCAGAAGGCAGCGGTCCCTGGGACAGCCCCTGGAGAGCTGGGGGCTTCCTTCCTGCAGCACCCCACAACCCCGAGGGGCACCCAACGCTGCTGCTGGAGACCTCGCGCCTTCACAGACAGCAGAGTAAACCAAGATATACACAAACACACACACCTATGTGTGCCATATACACACACAGCTGTTTCCAACCTGAAGTCATGCTGTTCCTCACAGCACCTTCCAGAAGATGCTACAGCCCAGAGAAGAGATGGATCGAGCATTTATCACGACCACCTTCCCTGGGGCCAGCGAGAGGCCGTGACTCAGCAGGCAGCTTTAGAGACGGGCACCACCAGCTCAGCCAGCGTGGCCAGGACTGCCATCCATCACCAGCCCAGCAGGGTGTCTCTCCCCTCCAACACCTGCACTGGAAAACGCTGGAGATGGGAAAACTCGACAGGAAAAACCAACCCAGCTGCCTTAAACTCCCATTACACACTGACCTTCACCTCTGTCCCCGTCTGTCTGCAGAGCCACCTCCCCTCTCTGCCCAGACATCCTCACTGTCCTCACCTCCGAGCACAAGCTTCACTTCCCATTTGTTTTAAATACCATCACCTGTTCCATCATATAAATACAGGTGAAAAACCCACACATGTGCATGTGCCAGGCCCCTAGGACCGAGGAATTGCAGGCAATAGTGGGTATCAGAGGGAGGGCTGACACAGCTGCTCTCTGCATTGTGACTGTCACCAGTGACTGCCATTCACACAGAGCCCTCAGCCCAGCAGGGTGATTCCCCCGGTCACTGCTGAGGTGCTGTTCCTCCCCAGCTGCAGGGATTGAACAATTAGCCTACCACACATCACATCCTTAAAGCAAACGGGAACACACCCGGCTAACCCAGCCTTTGAGTTCCTATTCACAACTAACCATAAAAACTAATCAGATCCCGCTTTTCCTATTGTTTTTTGCAGCGCTGGATGTGCTCAGATCCTCATCAAGTATAATTAAGAGACCCAGCAACCGGTACCACATCAGTCCACCCTGCAGAGCTGCTGTACCACACAGTCTCAGCCCTGAGCAGTGCCCACCCCAAACCTGGCTGCTATTTCTGCACCAGGGACACAGAAAAAGAAAGGCACCTGGTTGGAGCAGGATGTGGGAAACTGGGGCTGGGAAGGAAACGTGACAGAGAAAGAGGAGCACAGAACCTGGAGACTAAAGCACAGAAGGGAACCCCAGAGAAGGGTCCTACCCAGCGAGCAAACAGGAGCAAAGGGCCCATTACTGTCCTGGTCTTGAGATTGCCCAGGAATAAAGGGGTTCTCGGCTGCTAACAGGCAGTAACAGAAGTAAAACACTCTGTTGTTTGACTTGAAAACATTCTATTTAATTTATACAAATAACTACTAAATAGAAAAAGTAGATTAAAACAAAATAGTTATTTTTCTGGCAGAGTTTAAATGCATATTATATAGCTTAGAAGAAATAAAATGCATTTTCCCCACAGCATTCATGACCTAAAACTCTAGTTAATTCCTCCGTTGCTTTCCTGTTCTAGATCAGTAAGATACTAGACACAACGTCATGTGGGTAATGGCTATATATATGTTCCGTATTTGAACTGAAAATATGTTACAGACCACACACCTACAAATGTGAAGCACTTAAAATGTGACTATCGAGTTGTAATATGATAATACAGAAAACAACTTATGCTTCAGGTTATATCGTGTTACAAAAACATCTGTGTAAGAAATCATGAAAGAGGCCACATAAAAATAAGCTTTAACTTTATGCACTTATTTTACAGTTTAAAAAACTGGCAAGTGCACTAGTAATAAATAATTTGCAAGTTTTGTATAAACGAGAAATTCCTAATGTTCAGCATTATTGTAAACATCAGTACACATGTAAAATGCAGCTAAAATCTGACAGTTACATTTTCGGTTTACCAAATTCGTTTCCTATTACTCAGGCATAGATCAATGTAGTACACAGCCAATCCGATTTTTGGCAAGTCATGTCATTAAAATTAACAGTGACAGTGCAAGTAAGGAATGCAAAGAATTCCTAGTGCAATAAAGAAGAGAAGCACAGGCAATATTGCTGATTAAAATTTACCACTTCCACGTGTTCACCCTGGGAGTGATTAGGAGAATTAAAAAAAAAAAAAAGAAATAAAAAAAAAAAAAAGAAATAAAAAAAAAAAAAAGAAATAAAAAAAAAAAAAAGAAATAAAAAAAAAAAAAAGAAATAAAAAAAAAAAAAAGAAATAAAAAAAAAAAAAAGAAATAAAAAAAAAAAAAAGAAATAAAAAAAAAAAAAAGAAATAAAAAAAAAAAAAAGAAATAAAAAAAAAAAAAAGAAATAAAAAGAAAAAAAAAAAAGCTGTTCAAAGCCATTATTTAATGCCCTGATCTTGTCTTAGGATTTCTCTGTCTTCCTTCAGGCCACTACCTTTGCAACAGTACATCCAGGTGAGTCCTTAGAGCTTGACCCTCGGTGAAATGCCCCTCGTAGTCACTGAGCAGAGTCCAACGTGTCCCCGCCAGGGGCTCGGCAAGAGCTTCTGCCACATGGGGACTGCTCCTGTCAGCCACCAGCCAGGCTGCTCCTGGGCCAGAGACCTGCCTTCCTCCAGGAGAGCACCACGAGAAGAAGGTCAACAGTCAGCTTTCAGTTTATCTAAGGAATTGTCAATTTTGGTCAAAGTCTTTTTGATTCGCAGGGCTGTTAGTCTCGCTGACGGGTTCTGGTACCAGCACTCTTTCATCAGCTTGGCAAGGGATGTTAGTGTCTGGGAAAAGAACAAAAAAGGAAACACACGTGTAAGTGCACACATCACCAGCCAAGAAAGCACTGGATTGGCTTAAGCACTAACACAGTAAGGTTTTATTGCCTTATTAATGCCCAGTTTTCAGAGCCTACAGAGAGTTTACTGCTGTCCAGCAAACATACAACTTTCCAGTGCTGGAAAAAACCCCAAGTTTGATAAATTGGTTAAACCAAGAGAATGACCAGACAAGGGGCTGGCTGAGTGAGGAGCTAGCATAGTTTTAAACAAATGGGAGTTTTGGGGTTTTTCTAAGCAAACACTCTACAGACTTTCTTTTCAACACAAGTGGCTCCTGCAAGGCCAGTGAAGGAAGCCAGAGGAGGTAGAGACTTTGGGTGGAATTCCCAGCTGGTCAACCTGGAGAGTCCAGACCGATTCTGAAGGAGAAAAATAAACTTCAGCACTGGTCTTCCTAAAGCCACAACAGCCCCTTGTCCCTTATTCTGCCCTACATCTGCACACTTCTACACCACAGAAACGTTACCTTACCCTTAAAGAAATTTCCCCTTGGAGAATAATAGCCCAGGAAGAGCAGCTTGAAAACAGTTACTGTTAAGTCATGCTACTAAAAGGCTGAGCTGTGAATAGCTCAGACTTAAGAGGTGTAAGCTTGCTTATTGCTTCTCCTTCCTGCTCAAAGATAAAAGGCCCATGCCAGCATGTTCCCAAAAACCTGTCCGGATAACACTCCCGACAAGCAGCATTGAGATTGTTTCAATTTTAAGTGATAACTGACAACAGCTTCCCAAAGCAGAAGGGTCAGCTGGTGTCTCCTGCAGCCACTCACAGGGTCTGAGAACCATCTGTTGGGAATGTTGGGCCGTTGCTGATCTACACAGACCACTTTCCTCATGTCTTCAAAACTGGGGTCGTTCGGAACCAAATCATAAAAGGGTGGCTTATAGTCCTCCACAATACCTGGTGGGACACAAACAAGAGAGGCATTAATTAATGACTGTGGCAGTGAAACAGCACTCCTGCACAGAAAGGTGACCCAGCCGTCTGAGCAGCACAAAAATCTTCTAGAAGTTAGCACCACTGTGTCAAGCACCCATCAAACAGCTTTTTCTACCCAAAATGTTGATTGATTGGCTCGTATTACAATTCCACCAAGTAAGAACTATCTGTATTTCGTAGGTGCTTGAGCTGACGTGACGAGAAATAAATTCACTTGCCAAAAGGCCATCTTTTATAGCACATGGAGGTTTTACCACAAAACTGGGATTTCTACTAGCAATATAAAGATAAAGCATGTGTTGTGGTTTTCAGTAGCTTACCATGCTCTTCACACGGTGGTGTGATTCCTGAAAGAGCCCAATAAGCACATCAGCATCTACAGACCTTCATACTGGTGCTTCAGGTAATTTTGTTTCTCGTTATTAAAGTAGTGGAATACCCAGGGTAATTGGCAGCACACGCCATCACAAAGGCAAACACTTGAGTGTCCACAGGCATTTTCTAGGATTCTGTGCTGGAAAAGGAGTTTGTGTGTGTGCTCTCACAGCCTGTCACCCAGCTCCCACAGAACTGGCAGGCTAAAAAGCCTTTTGCCTACTGGAAGGCAGGCAGGCAGCACTGCTGTTTCAGCACTGGACTAAGCTCACAAATGACCCATAGGGAGCCCAGCTTTCTTAGGAAGCCAATTTAAAAAGCAGCCTCCAAAAGCCAAGGCATTTGGGTCAGCAGCTTGGAAAAACCCCGAGCAAACGAGGCCCTCTGTGTCCAGTGAAACACGGGCAGAACAATCTTAAACCTGCTTTTTAGCAGGCTGGCAGCTGTCCTGCAGGCAGGGCACAGGAACTCCGGGAGAATTTCTGTTCCTTCGGATATACTGAAGTTGAAAAGAGGTTCTCAAACATCACTACAGTGGCTGGGATTTAGTTTTCTTGTTCTGTTGGAGATGAAGGTCCCATAGATCCTCTGTAGAAATCTGTAGATCCCTATCTGTGGTGGCTAGTCGAAACGAGGAACGGTGTTCAGGAGATTTCAGCTCCCTTAGAAGACAGCCGGGCAGTGGAAAGCCAGGCTCCCCAGCAGCCCCCAGGGTCTGCCCTGTGCTGTCCCCAAGCACAGGGACGCTAAAGCACAGACTGCATCCCATGTAAAGAAGCATCACCCACCCTCCTCCTTCCAGCAATTCCTCATTGCACACACCTGACATCGCCAACAGGGCTGAACTCGGGTGTTCACACTCCTCCTGCCTCCCAAAGCACACAGAGTAGAGTTTGTGGTGAGAGCTCCAGAACACAAGAAGCCTCCTGTGCATCCACGCTCCCTGTGCTTCCCTTTCGGATAAAGCAGAGGCTTTACAGGAGTCAAATGCCGAGCTTGGGAGCTGCATCCTGTGGCTCTGAGAACATTTCCTGGGTCATTTGGGGACTCCAGGTGACCCTTATCCTGCGAGTCTGGCTCTAATTCCCTATTTTCATGTGCTCTTTGTCGCCGCAGAGGGTTTCTGGCTGGAGAGCCATGGAGCACAGGCAGGGAGGCGGCGGGTGCAGCCTTTCCTCCAGTAGTGTGACCGAGCGCTCCGATCTGCCCCCGCCATGCCCCAGGGACCACCCCGGCCCCGGAGCCAGCACCACAACCTCTCGCCCACCGCCGGCCCTGGAGCCAGCCCCACAACCTCTCACCCACAGGGCCCAGCGCAGAGCTGTCACCGACCTGTGCCACGCTCCCCTCGCCCGCCCCCCGAGAGGAGACCCCGCATCCACAGCCAGCCGCTTTCCCCACAGGTTTAGATGACTTCTGGAACTTACAATATATAGTATCTTTTTTTTCCCCCCCTGGAGTTTCTGGCTTTTTGCTCCTCAAACCAGCCAGAACTGACACACACAACAGCGTTTCCTTCACCTTTGATGCTGGTTACTTTCACGTCAGCTTGTCCCGCACGGGCACAACTGGAGCTGCTGGAGCAACGCAAGGTCCCAGGGAGACCCAGCACCCACCCAGCCCTATTTATTAACCCAGCTGCTATTTATTACAATCAAACAAGACCTCAGTTCTGGGAAGGGCAGAGAAGCTCCCTCAGGAACAGAGCTGCAGGAGCCGGGTACCAGGGAGGGAAGGATGCTCCACCGCGAGGAGGGAGCACATCCAAAAGCACCCACCAAGCACTCCACAAGGAGCAAGCACTGCTCTTTTTTTAAAGAGGGTAAAATACTGCTTTGGAGGCTTAAACACGTTTCAAATACAGAGAGAAATGCTGAGCGATTCCTGCTGCAGCACAAAGATGATACACAAGTACTCTTGGTTGTGGCTAAGGAGTTTCCTACTGCAAACTGCTCGAGGTGGACCTGCTCTGGCAGGGAGGTTGGACTAGATGATCTCCAGAGGTCCCTTCCAACCCCATGGTACTCTGTGATTCTGTGAAGACATCCAATATTCCACACAGGATGCCCAGCCTCCAGAACAGCACTGTGACAAGCCACAGTCCAGACAAACTACTCAAAACTTGAGACTGGCAATGAAAACCAAACAGACTTCTGGAAAGCTCACAGGTGAAGGTTTGTCACCACAGGGCAACTGCCAGGTTCAGACTGACACCACCTCCCAGGAGTGAGCAGGCAGCCCCGTGCAACATCACCCCTTGCACATTGAATCCAACCCCTGCCCCGTAAACCCATCGCACTATGGCACCTGGTGAACTACAGTGCCCACAGGCTGTCGAGACAAAGTGCAGAACACAGAACTGCACTGAAAACAATGAAGCTACAGCTTCAATTCTCAAGGCACTCTCACTGACGTGAACTGCAACCCTGAGCTCTCCAGATATTGGGAAATGCAAGGAGCAAGTCCTGATCAGTGCCCATGGCACACATGTGCCAACACACGGAGTACAGCGCCGGAAAAATTGACACCATGCACTCCCAAGGCTTCCCTCCTCGCCCTAATCAGCCACATACACCTTCACCTGCCATCCCGTCCCACTCTGTGATTCAGCTGACTCACTCTCTTGTACCAGAAGAATACCTATGCCTTTTGCTGCCTACACCATCAAGCAGCAGACAGAAGGCAGACGAGGTCACCAGAAAGCCTATGGAAGTGTCCTCCTGCTCCCGCAGCCAGTCCCGTCACCACCGCCAGCAAGACAGGAGCTGCTCACCATGGACCAACACAACCGTCCATCTGCACGGGTTACCTGCTCTCTTCATCACAGAGCAATGCCCATGGTGGTTCTCCCCAGAGCTATCACAGCAAGCTCTCAGGCCTACAAGGAGACTTAAATTAGCCACCTCAGCCTACTTGATGCATCTTGCTACCCTCAAGTCAGCTTTGTCCCAGCACTCTGTACATATCCTAGAGAAGACAGAGGCTTAGGACAGTGCCCCAGACCCCAGGCAGTGTCATAGTACGCTTGGAAGCTCTGCAAATCTTCTCAGAAGAGCCACCTTCCAGCACCCTTCTCATAACAAGCCTCACTGCAGTGTCTCTGGAGACAACTGGCTGCCTCACAGTTACATCATTTTGGCCACCAACAGCTAACAGATGAAGTAAAAGGTTCATATTTGAAGAAGTCAAGTACTTCAATAGAATAACAATATTTGTTTGCTATTAGAGCTGCTGCACACCTGCTCGTCTGCTGGGGCTGGGGAAGGGAGGGGAGATAACCCATGAGAACCAACACCAGGGAAGTGCCAGAGCTCCCACCAGAACCAGAGCTGCTGCCACAAGCCCTCAGTGTTACACCTCACTGTAGCCACCAAAACAAGCCCCCTCAGCTCCTCAGTGTGCACCACGCTGACTGCTGCCCGTCGTTCTCACCAAGGAACCCCAAGCTGGCAGGCACTCGGCAGGCACCAGCCCTGCCACCATCGTGCTCCCAGGCACTCCTGAAGAACATCTGCCTTCCCCTCTCCCCTTGGGTCCAGAGAGCATGACCTGAGGTCCAGAAGTCAGAGTGGACTTCTGAACTGACAGGCACAAGAAGAAATCACACCAAGAGATCCCCAGCCTAAAGGTTGCCAAATTCCAACTCCCTGGCCAAGGGAACACCAGCAACGCTGCGCTGCAGCAGAGGGTGCAGCGGGGCTTCTCCCCAGCAGGTCTGCGTTTTGAGTCCTGCTTTGTGAGTGCATTTCACTTGGTAAAGCCAAGAGCATCCCTCAGCTCTGATCCCTTCACTTCTTTACTTCTGCATACTCTCTTTCTGCTCCTCAGATGCCGTCAGGAGAAACAGCCACCTGGAAGTATTCACTATGGTTTAATGACACACGGAAAAAGTTTAGAGACTTTATGTTTTAAAATGTTAACTGACTATTTGGTATGAACTACTTCTCATCATAATTTAGGACGTGACAGGGGACTCTGAGCCTTAGCAGAAGCGACAGCAAGGCTCAGCCATCGTACCCAACGTACCAACAGCTTCAGCACAGGCAGCAACGGGTCAGGAGGCAAAATACTCTGCAGGTCCAGTGCTTACTGCCCATCTTACCTATTCTGTTTTTCCTGCCATGAATTACCATTTGTGAACCCCTTCCACAGCCAAGCAGAGGAGTCCCAGTACTCACCGTTGCTAACCATGCGCCTGGCCACCTCCCACAGGACCAGCCCAAAGGCCCAGATGTCGACCCTTTTGTAGGAGTCGAAGCAGTCTGCCTGGATGCTCTCGTCCAGCACCTCCGGGGCCATGTAGCGCTTGGTACCCACTCGGGGGTTGTTCCCCACGTCCAACTGATTGGTGCTTTGGGAGTGCATTACTGCAAGGCCTGAGGGACAGAAAAAACACACATCTCTGTTAAGTCCCTTTAAAACTACAGCAGCGTTTGCTTAAATTCCACGCGAGCAGTGACACCCATCAGGCAGTTCCTCACAAAGAAGGAGCCCAGAGCAGAGTCCCAACTGTCCACAGCCCAGGTGGGTCAGCCCCAAACCGGCTATCGAAAACAGCCTCTGGGGCCATGGACTGAGACCAATTATCTCCCCAGGGATTACCATTAAGCATGTTATTGCACTGTTGCAAAATGTTGTCATTAAGTGTTCTGCAGCCACTGGATGTCACCAGCGCTCCAGGCACGTATACACAGAAGGCCCAACATCTGTTACTTGGAAGAAAACAATTTTACACAGCATTCAAATTTATTTATAGAACTTTTGGGTAGGTGGATATATCCGAACTGCAGGGAAGAGAGAAGAAAAACACTGCATGATGGATACACACAAGTTAAAAAATAAAGCTGGGAAATAAAAAAACAGCGTATTTGCAGTAGCTTGAAAAATAAACATCCTCAAGCTGATCTAAAATGAGTCAGTCAAAACCACTCTACCTGGTTTCTACTAATTACTAAACATCTAAGCAAAGAACATTATGTGAGGGACTAAATTACTGTAAATTTGGAAACACAGAGAGTACTGGTTTAGCCATGGTAAACAGAGCGCCTACAAATTGAACAGCAAGAGGTGCATGACACAACCAAGCAATAGGAAGGGCGACACAAACTCTCCCTAATTTCCTCAACAACTCTTGTAAGAATAACATATTCTATTTACATTTAACCTCAGTTTATTTTAGAGAAAACTTAAAAAGCTTTTCAATTCAGTCCCACAAAAAATTAACCTTTCACCATATCATTATTTTTTCTTCTTTCCAAAAAGAGTCTGTACTTCACTGTAACAAAAGTCTGGAAAACGCCTTTCTACAATTTAAATGCACTTCAAGTAATTTCAAGCTGCTAAGAAGTTGCTCATGGCACCTCTAGGAAGATGCCATCTACTGACCCCATGGCTGCTGAGGAGATAGCTTGGAAAGCCTGCTCTCCAGACAAAAAGATATTTTGTCTCTCATATATATATATACACACACACAGAGAAAACATATTTACACACTTAAATGTTTATGTATTTGTCTAGGTTTAAGTTAATTTGTAATATGTATGGATCATAATATATAAAAACCCCACAACTTGCACACTGGAAACAAAGGTTAGAAAACAAATTTCCTGGCAAACTCTGAAGACGTCAAGACTTTGGAGAACGCTTTGATAAAAGTTGCAATACTGCATCCAACCGGGGCAAAACAGTCAATGGAGTGACAGGTCAAAGGTTCAAGGCCGAGGGATGAAGTCAACGTCCCCCACGCTACAAACCGGAGCGTGTTGCAAGAGGGTGAGGGGACAGCAGTGTTGTAACCGGGTCCCCACGGTGGTGGCATCTGCGCTGCCCAGGAGAGCCCGGCAGCAGACACCGCACTGCTTCTCTGCGCCTCGGGACATCTCAGGGCACATCTAACATAGGGGACCGTAACTACTGGCCAGAGAAGCCCTTTCTGTAATATACTAACTCTTTAAAAAGGGAAAAAAAAAGAAAAAGTTTGAGGGGACTATGAACTGATGAAACACATTGGTTTTCAAGACACCAAGAAGTCCTCTTTGGGATACTGGAGTATGTGCTGGGAATAAACACGGAGCAAATCCATTTTGTCAGTGTTCTTTGCATCTTCCTTACAAACACCAGCGCTGGCTCCGTATGGCCACGGAAGGAGAAGGAGGGGGCAGGAGGAGGGCTGGCCTTTTTCTCCTTTTGGTACAAGTGTTATCCTCCTCTCCTCTGAGGTTGCTCAACTAAGCCCTGTCCCTGTGCACGTGAACTGCTTTGGAGGGGCAGAACTTTTCCACAGTGCTGACAGACTGCAGCCAGACTGACATCCATCCTTGGACTTTATCGCGCCGTTTCTGCTTAGCTAGAAGGTATTTGAAACAGCCGGTTTTGTAACTGCAGCTCTGGAGGCTTGGGCTGCTGCTGGAGATGCTGGTCTCCAGCTGGCTGATGGACAACAGCCACCTCACAGAGCTCCTGCACTGGTGCCAGCCAGAAGGAGCACAGCGAGCCCCAAGCCACGCTGCGGCACCCAGGCTGGCAGCGGGACAGGCAGGTACAAGATACACAAAGCTGTTTGATTCCTCTTTTTCAGAGCTGACACCGACTCTTAGCAGGCACATCCTGAGTCCAGAACCTGCTGTGACCCATGGAACCCCGGCCCAGCTTCGCTCTGGGCAGCGGCAGTGAATCCTTCCATCAGCTCGTATCTGCCAGTCTCAAAGTGCCATTTTTATTGTATACTGTGTGTTGGAAAAACAGAGGAGACCATGGGAGGAAAAAGAGCCAAAGCTACACAGGAAAAAAGGGCATGAATATATGGCAGAAGAAAAACTCTTTGGTAACTCTCCTTTACAGGAAGGGCACAAATGAAGTATCAGATACACACCCGAGGAGTTCACCTTTAAGAAAATAACTATCTTAGCACCGCAGAAACTGGGAAATGTTTATTGCTGTGCTCTCTCAGAAAATCTCTCAAATACCTGAAGCCCCTAGATAAATAACGTAGTAGATTTCACTCTATTAGTGCGACGTCAGTCAATGCCAGTATGTGCTGCCCCCTCCTCAGTGTGACCTACAAGCTTATTTAAAAGCCAATCTCTGAAGTTTTGTATTTTCAACTTACTGTTCCATTTTTTACTAACCATTCCCTGTGCAAGTTTAGATAAGCCCAGATGTGAGGCTTTCATGTTTTCCCTGTGTGTCTCTCATGTCCCTCAGGCAAAAGTGATAGGAGCTACACAATGGAACTGCAACTGAAAAAAATCCCACTTCCCAATACTTGTTTTGTCCAGGCAATGACTCCCCAGTGCTACTGTTCTACCACAGTTAGCTATTTTCTCCCTTGTCTTCAGAGAAAAGAAAAAAGATAAGTCAGACATCACCCCAGTATGCAGGAGCCACACTGGGCAGCTGCTTCTCAGCATCCACCAGCTCAGAGTCCAAAACCAGCTGGTCACCAAGAGCCACCTCTGCATTATCTGGCAAAAGACTGGAGCTGGATGGACCCGTGGAGCTTGGGACAGCAAGCACACAGTTCTTAGAGTGCAAGTGGAAGGACATTTATTAGTTCAGAAATGAACTGAAGCCTGAGAACTGCTGCCTCTGGGATCCACGAATGGGATTTAACAACGGAAGCCCAAGAAAAAGTCCAAAATGTTCAATGTGCTGCTGGCCGGAGAGGCTGCACTGCACCTCCTCTGCAGCAGAGCAGCATTTCTAAGTTGTAAGTGCCATCTAGTGGCTGTCACACACCTCCAGGAGAGCATCACACCACCGGACGCTTATTTTAAGATTACTTGAAGACTTTTACAGTTGAGTTATCCAACACGTTTGATTTCTGCAGGAATGCAACGGGTATGTTAGCACAGAAATGAACTCACCTAAATCTGCTATGCAGCACTGCCCATTTTTCTTGACGAGGATATTTTTGCTCTTCAAGTCCCGGTGAGAAATGGCAGGCTTCCCCTGGGTTCCAAAAATCTCGATGTGCAAATGTGCGAGCCCGCTGGCGATGGAGAGCACGATGCGCAGGCAGCTGACCGTGTCCAGCGTGGTGAGCTGCAGGTAGTCATACAGAGAGCCCATCTCGTGGTAGTGGGTGATCAGCCACAGCTGGGTACTAGAGTTCCTGGAAGTCATATCAGATGCAATAAAACCTAGGGAGAGACGTGGGGAAAAGGAGAAACAACATAATAAAATGACAAAGTTCCTTCAAGACTCCCTCAAGGAAAGAATCAATACTACTAGGCCCCTCTTGCAATTTAAAACTCTGTTTAATTAAAACTTTTCCACGACTGCACTGCGCTGAAAACAGACTGCAGGTAGCACCATGATGAAAAAGGAGCTGACACGTTCTGGAAGAATATATATTGTATATATTGCCAGTCACACCAAACAACTACTTGTTAGGACCACATACTATAAAAAAAAAAGTTTGGATTTTCTTCATTTTTTGTCCTTCTTTTTGAAGGACTTAGGGGTGGAGAAGTTTCCAGCACCAAAACCCAGAGAACAGCCATTCTTCCATTTCAAATACTACATCTCAAGGGGTGTGCAGCTCACTTCACGCTGAAGCGAGGCAGAGAGCCTTTATGCATCACAGCTGTATTTCACAACCATCTTCTACAAAGGAACAGAGAAAATCTCTCTTTGAAACTCATGAACCTCAAGTACAGCTTTCAAAATGTGTCTTAAACCTGAACCCAAAATTCAGGAGCGGCTCCCTTTCCTGTCACCTCTGAATTGACTGTGCATCAACACCCTGCTGACCCCAACAGCTTTAGCTGGGAAGCAACAGAAGTTTTATTCCCAAGCTGGAGGAACAAATCATGTTTATTAAAAGCCCACATATGACATTTGTCAGGAAGAACACCCACTACCTTTCTCTCCTGAAGTCAGATTTCTGCACAATGTGACACTTGTGTAATTTGCGATATTGTTTAATATCACATCTAAAAAAATTCTATAAAATAGCCAACAAATTTGACAGTTATCAAGAAAGACTAAACACAGGGAGAGGAACATGGGAAACACGTAATGTAATTTCAGCCAAGTTTCTTGCTCTCTCGGGAAGGGAAGTTCAATAATTCACATTTCAGGAGGGCACCAAGTTATTTTTGTAGTAACAAAGGAACCGCTTGAGGAAACATTAGACAAACGTCTAGCAGGGTGAGCTATGGAGCCAAGGAATAGTCTCTGGCAGGAAACAAGACTAAGGAGCCCCAGTAAAACTGATTGCAGACAGACAGATCGCTGGTGAGGGATGTCAGCACTCAAACACACGCTGCTGCTTTTATCTGTCGAGGTGGCACACCAGTGGAAGGAGGTCACGGTGACCAGGGATCAAAGGGGCTGCTTAAACTTCAGCCATGGCTCACCACACAAAAAAAGCCATTTTCCAAGCTCTCAGAACTGAGCACATGAGGTACAACGGACACAGAAGATCCAAAATTATTGCGCTTCCATATTTATACTTCCATACTGCCACAGAAGTGAGACGCATCATAAAAGGGCAATTACAGTTGAAGTTTTAACAGCAAAGGAGCTTAGTTTGACCCTCAGAACAGTCAAACAAAAGGAAGTAATGGATTCATACTGCACAAGGAAAAGTATTCAAATATATTTCAGTCTCATTATAAACACCTCCCCAGTTTTTCTCCCTTCTTTTCACCCAGGTGAACTGAAGTTACAGCAACACACAGGTCCACTGGACCTTGTCCACCCAACACCTCATGCCAGTATCTTCTGCCCTGTGGCTGCCCCGCAATGAGAGTTGCAGGGGTGGGTTCAGAGCGTGTGTGTCTGTGGCACCTCCAGTCTCCTCTACACAGTGAATTACTCTGGCTGACTGCTGCTTGCCTGAATATTGCAGCAGGACAGTGATTTATGGTCACTACGGCACCTTCTCCAGATGAGACTCGGGCTTCAGCACCCTCCTGGCAAGTCTCCCCCTTAAAATGTCCCTTCAACTATTTATCACAAACACAAGAGCCTGATCTCACAGATTGCAAGACCCCTGGCAAACCTGCAGTGCTTTGTAAGTGAACTGTTCCATCACCTCCCCTCTCCACCAGCTGCTCCAGGACACATGGACACGGTTGCCTTACTCACCTAAAATGTTTTCGTGCCGCAGCAATACAGTGTTGTACAATTCAGTTTCCCTGAACCAGGATTTTTCATCCCTAGAAGAGAAGATCTTCACAGCAACATTTTCTCCTTGCCACTGACCCCTCCAAACTTCTCCATAACGGCCCTTTCCTGGTGGGGGAAAAAACCACAGTAGAAGCTGTCAACTAGCAGTCTTCACAGGACAGAAGGACAGGCTGGGTGGTAGGACAAACTCAGCAGCCATGGCCCAAATATCCCACTGATGTACTTCGATGCCCCCTCCATATGCTTTTTACCACTTTACAGTGGTAAGTACTGTTACTACCTCAGGATATCTTTGACCCAGACGCTTCCTAAAATTACTAAACCCAAATTTAACACTATTCCATTAATATATATATGCCGGAGAAAAATAAAATTAATGGATCCTTAAAATTAACACTGAAATCCTGAAAAAAAAAAAGAAGACCCAGAAGAGTTTTAGGGAAGAGCTACTGGAGAGACTCTCTCTTTCAGGGTGAAAAAGAGCAGCAACAGCACATCATCTCCTGCACAGTCCCAAAGCCTCAGCACAGAGCAAGTGACAAACCATTCTGGTTCCCACCCCAATGGCTCAGAATCACAGGGTTGGGTTGGGTTTGTTTTTGTAAATGCTGTATGAGCCACTTTGCCTGATGGTTCAACTCCAGATCTCAAATCCAGATGATCCTTTTCCTAATTCTAAAGCTTTCTAATTGAACACCACTTAATGAAGAAGTGTCTGTTTCACAAAGTACACTAACTAGGCTTGTTTGGATTTTCTAACATCACCTTACTGAACAAAGCTTAAATTTCTCAACCATAAAGCACAGATGGTATTTGCCCCTCTCCTCTGCACAGACTGGAAGGAATTTTTTCCCTTCCCTTTCCAAACCCAAGTCTGTTCCATAAGCCAAAGCCTGAAGAGTTCCAGCCGTTATACAGGCAACTGAGGAAGAGCAGTGAGTTGTGACAGTACCTAAAGCCCTCTCCCTACAGTTGTTACCAAGACTTGGCACTAGAGGTGAACAAGGATTACACTGACCTACACACTCCACAAGTGTGATCTGGCGAGCCACCGTTCTTTGCACCAAGAAAGGAAGTCCAGAACCACTTCCAGATGTGCAGGAATGGTCCAATAAATCCTGTGCAAAAGGAAAAGCAGAAGTTTATTACCTGTGAGAAATTACATTTTTTTTCCTCTGTTTCAATACGCAAAGGTACAACACTTTGCAGGGCAGGTTCAGTTAAAGCTCACTGGTATCTCAATGGCTCTGGTGATGCCCCTTGGGCACTCAGGATTGAGACACACCATTACCATTACCATCACCATCCCGATGGACAGAGCGTGCTCTGCACAGTTTTACCGCTTCAAAGAACATCCCAGGCACAGAGGAGACTGCTGCCAGGGGAGTGACAACTTGGGCAGAATCACCTTCTGCTGGTGTGCTACAAACACAACAAGGAACAGCAAACCAGTGCAATACTGGTTCATTTGCAGACGTCTTATTCTGTCTCTATCATTTATCCGGCATTATGGTATCATTTTGTTTAAAAAGTATTTTGTTTAATAACTAAATGACAATAAATTTACTGCCTGTGAGCCTGGAAGCTCACTCGTAGCCCACAAGCCATCCTCTGTAGTGAAATTCCACTCTTTTTCAGCACTTTGTTCCTTTCTCACTTAGCTTATGCTCTCTCAATTCTGTGTCTGTCACCTATTTCAAATAGGTTAGTATCAATAATCTTGCAATGATCTGGGCCACCTCAAAAAAATAAACTTTCTCTCTCTGACTTCCATAGTTAAAACTTTCTGCCATACAGTTAGCAGAAAGCAAACCAGCATTTATTTCTGAGCATTCCTGGGGGCTAATTTCTAATTAGACAAGGTTTCTAATTGAAATGATAAGACAGCTAAAACCAACAAATTCCTATGACACAACTTGCTTTTCCAGCACCTTTTTAATCACAATTTGTTCTCAGCTGACCATTTTGTCTGAAGTAACACGGGGAGGGAAGTCAGCTTTACTGAAAACCTACAGAAGGGATTTTCTGATAAACTTCACGTCCCTGTCCCAAATTAGAACTTCTGACAACACCCACGGAATTCATTCTAGGTCTCCTTTCCTGCAGTGGCTGAACCACGCCAGATTCTGTGAAAAAGAGAAGTCATTGTGTGGTAGCTACCAGTCATGGGCAGCTCTGGCCCAAGCTGCTCAGGTTTGGTACAGTTATTTATAACTGCAAAGAGCGTCACAACAAAGATTGACAGGAGCAGTACCTGCAGCACCCACACCACACATGCCATTGATACTCCACAAAATTTTCCATAAGGTCTCTCTTTCAAGTTTTTATCAGTTTCTGGTATTTTTAGAGAATGGAAAGCAGACTTTGAACTGTAAGCTTATAAAACACGAGTGAGATTCTAATTGAATGTTAAAATCCTATTAGCCTTTTAAAATGCTAATACCCAGCTACTTTTCTGGCTAGCACTTCCATACTAGTGCAAAGCATTAACAACGGCATTACTGGAGTCTTTTTTCTTTACAAAGGAAAACAGAATGAAAAAAAGAATAAGCACAATCCACTTTCTGATACTTCCAAACTGCACTTCTGGGCTTTAACCGGACCTGATGAAATCTCATTTCTCCTAAAAATTTTTCAGTGAGTGCTCAAGAAAAAGATAATCTAAGACTGACAGGAGACTGCTATTTCACTTTTTAATACAATCAGAAAGCTCATTTCCCCCCTGCTTCTATCAGAGGAAAAAAGCAAAAAAAAAAAGCAAAAAACAACAAAACCCCCAAACCCAAACTTATCTGCAGCAACTGTAAAAACAAGATTTGAAGAGGTCACAGCTCTTTCCATTCCCCATTAGGAAGCTGAGGACTTTAAGCACGTGTTACACTATGGAGACTAATCCTAAATGTAAACTAATGTGTAACAAAACCAGCGATTTAAAACACACAATGGAGACGAAAAATCTGGAGTTTAAAAGAGACTGACTGTTTATAGATGCCCATTTAGAGACAAGGAACTATCAATAGTGATTTTCCACGCCCAGCACTCAGAGCAGGGAACACAGAGCTAAGAGGGTCTGGCAGCTGGGAACAAACAGCTCCATTAGACCAAGCCTTTACAATTTGTGACTTCCCCAGTTTCTTTTGAAAAGAATTTTGATTCATTCTTCTCAGGTTTTATCATTGTTTCCGAGTAACATCAAATGAGGTGAAGTGCAAAAGGTTTGCAAATGGAACAGGAATGGTCTTGTGAAGATAAGAGTTAAGAGCTGGTAAAAGCTGGAAGTCAATGCTTAAAGACAGGGGCGCGCACACATCTAGTTGGTGGTGAAGGCATCAAAACCAGCTGTTTTAAAACAGTTACACAGAATCAAGCCTTGTGGCTAATTAAAGACTGACAAAGGCATTAAAAAAAATATACACACACACTAAGATCATGGGAGACAGCTTCGAAGTTTTCAGAAGCCAAACATACCTCCTCCTCCTCCCTCCACCCCATAGCATCTTTCAACCTTCCAGGCTGTCTTTCACATACCACAGATGCAGTACATTTTTACACCTTTCACATCACTTCAGGCTACCCAACAATCAGGGTTAATACTCTGTTTTGCTGTTTAGACACTGCTTCTAGGGAGGTAAGCAGCGTGACTACAGCTTACGGCAGCTCTCCAGGTCAAAGGAGCTCTACCTCCAAAGGCTATCTTTTGGTTAAATGCCATTTAAACTGCAGCTCTGCGAGCACAGGAACGTCACCACAGAAGTCCTGGCACTGAGTGGCATCCCCCAGCAGCAAAGGTGCTGTTATGGATGTGGCCATGCCCGGAGGGTAGAGGAGGGGAGCTGGGAAGCACAGAGAGCTCCCCCAGGTTCTCCACACAAACACACACAGAGGTTACTCACTGCCAACGTGCTGTCCCCAACGTTGGAGGCAATGAGGCCCTCGATTGTCCCATACTCTGCATCCCGAGAGTTGAGCCTCTCCATGTGGTTTTTCTGTATTCTCCGGATGACCGGCACAGCGACTGCAGAGAAAACTATCAGCACCATCACGGGAGCCAGGATAACGATGATTAGTGTTTCCATGCTGTAACCTGCAGCTTCTCCTTGAAACGTTTGTCCTGGGGAAGGGAAAAAAAAAAAAGGGAAGGGGGGGCAGGGAGGAGGGAGGGAAGAAAGAGAAAAAATTAATGAATTTGCGAATTCCCAGAGAAAGTCTTTAAAACCAAGAGCACTGACACCAACATTTAACCTGGCAGCCAGGTTGTCTGAGGGAGCGGTGGTGACACTGGAGCTGTGTGTGCACTGACACCCGGGATGCTGGGTGTGAGAACAGCCCCATCCCTGGAGAACAAACCCCTCCTGCCACCATGCAGCTCCCTGTGAGGCTGTAACTCACCCCCACTATGTGCTTGAACCCCTGCCACCCAGCCAGCAGTGCAGAGCATCCATCCTGTGGACATCAAGGTGGGGAACCACGCAGACAGGGCCTTGCTGCACTGGTTAAACCCTTCAGCTCCCACTGAAGCCCTGGCTCCCACCACACCAGGTGAACGCCAACCCCTTTTTCCTTCTCAGAATTCCCTGTCTCCAGACCAGCCCCTCACCTCTGGAGGAGGGCAGCTGGGCGGTGATGTTCATGTTGCAGAGGTACCCCTGGCAGCACTCCACAGCTTGGTCGGGAGAGGGAGGCGTCTTGCACGTCATCTTCCCTTGCTCGTAGACCTGGAAGCAGCCCTTCTGGTAAACCTTAGCACCGTCGTTAATGCTGAGGGAGGCAAAGCACTGCTGGCCCTGGCAGCGGTCCCCGTTCCCGCAGGACATGCCCTCGCACACGCACTCGTAGTGGACCATGTTTAGCTTCAGTTCATTGTCTGGGAAAGGGGAGAGTTGAGGAACAAAACACGGTGGTATTCTTAATAGCCTCAGTTATATCGAGATAACGAAATCATTAGACAATAAAGCCTGTTTAAGGGAAGAAATACTACTTGCAGCTGGTGCTGCAGAACCACCAAGTAGGAGCTAACGATACTAACTCAGCCCCTTCAGCAAGGCAAAGGTATGACCTTGCACCATCAAAGAAATACCAGCCATATCTGCTCCCTCCAGGCACTCAGATCTCCAGAGTTCAGTGCCATTCCTCAGCAGCCGGGCACACAGCCTGGGAGGGTCATCACACACAGTCGTAGGGGAAAAAAACTTTAAACGGTGTAAATTTACAACAGATTTGCTACACCATGTTATATTTCTATATGGAAATAGTTATTCTCAAGCATTCTGGAAATGGATTTAACAAAATCCAATGAAGGCCATTTAAATTTGCAGCAGGCACACTTGGCAAATCCTGGGTAGCTGTAACTGGCTCACTCAAAAAGTCAGTCTGAAGAAATTTTCCCAGGGAGACAGGCCTTTGAGGAGCACCTTAGGAGTGAGTAACCAGGAGGTAAAGGGAGAAGCAGCAGAGACCACCAGCAGGTACAACACCTCCCTTCCAGCCCTAGAGCCCAAGCAACAGGAAGAACTTCCCAGAAAATGTATAAAGTAGGAAATTAAACTCCAAAGCATCCTCAGGAAAACATCTAGAGATGCCCAGCCAGGACAAGCCCTCTGTCGGGGCAGAACCCTACACACTGCCACTTTCAGGGGTGGCACAGGGTCACTCCAGGCTCAGCAGGAGAAGACACCGCTCCCAGCCAGCTAATGGGGAGCACTGGAAGCTCCCCAGTTCCCTGAAGATGCAGGTGCTGGCACGCAGCCACAGCATTGCTCAGAAAAGGCACGGCTGGGCAGGACAGAACAAGTCACTGTGTCACACACATCCCTTGTGCACATACACACAAGTGCATGGCAACTTAACTCATATTTACATTCTCTTTTTTGATTTTAACACACAAGAAAAATTTCCAGCCACAAAACACTGGATGCTCCTAAAATAGCAGCTGGGCATACCATGCGTTGGGCTTTTTCAAGCCTATCATTAGAGTCTGCCCACTGGGAATATAACGCAGTTTGTTTTCCGCTTTGTTTCCCTCCCCTCCCACAATGAACAAGTGCACAAATAGGATCTTCCATTTTTGAGCCACTAAAACTAAACTAGGGAGAGAATCCTGAAATCAGACAGCGTCTGTCACATTGATTTCGAGTACTGGCATACACGATCCCAGTCATACACGTACCAATTAATAACTTTGCTAATTTTGTGGAACTTTAAAAAAAGAAGAGAAAAAAAAAATATGTCAAACAATGCTATAATCAAGTTCTGTTCCTTCTCCTTCCCCAACAGCAGCAGTGAAACAGGGCTGAGAGGCTGCAGGAGACCAGCTCAGGGGCAGGGATCAAGGCTGGCCGGCTAGCGAGGTATGGACCCTGCCGGCCACACGGGCAGGTGAGAAGCCAGGCTTCAAAATACCCCCAGCCCCTCAACACCTCACTGCACCTACTTCTGTGTCTAATGCAGAGGCTCATTGCTGCATTCATCGTGCACACACACCCAAAAATCTGACTGTCCACACAAAGACACAGAGATTTGCATTAACTTCTCATTAACTACCAGATTAGTTCATTATTATGAAAGTGTCAAAACTGAAGCTCCTTTATTTTGTTTGCTTATTCACTTTGTGAAAGTCAACAATTAAGAGAGCTGACTCCAATTACCCAGGTATTTCAACAGCAGAGGAACCGAGACAGCCCACACTCCAGCCAGTGAGCTGGGGGGTGCCGTGCGTCAGGAGCTGTCACCCTGCCTGCAGGACACCCCAACCCCGCAGGGACACCCCAAGGACACCAATCAGTGATGGAAACGTGCAGAAGCAAGGAAACAACGACAAGTTATTCACTTCTACACAAAGTTCAGTAACTGGTTGCGTGAAATAATCTGTACTGGTTTATTTTATATTTTATATCCAATTCTCGGACTGGAGCCATTGTTAACTGTCTGGGGAAATACCAAACTTCTTCTCTCCAAGGAGAAATGCACCACATATGTTTCTGGGAACACATCTTAATCTTGAGGTGATCTCTTCACGTTCAGAAGAGCCATTCATTTTCCATCGAAACAGGTCGTACAACAGGTGCTTGACCACCTTTTCTTATTGGCACCGCTGGAACACAGCTTCTTCACCTGCCTTTGGCTTGAAAAAATGCCTGTGGTAACTATGTGACATGGTCAGCAAATATTGACATAATTTTAAAAAAGCAATAAAAAGTAAGAACATATACTGTAAAAGTCTCAGATTTCTTTCTAAAGACAACGTCTCCAATTATATCACATGTACCTTTTAAAGCAGGGCTTTAACAATATCAAATCACTTCCTTCCAGCTGCCACCACCACTGCACACCCTCCCCTGCAGAATTCCATGGAATCACAGAATATCTGGAGTTGGGAGGGACCCATCAGGATCAAGCCCCACTCCCTACTCCCGGCAGGACAGAATCCCACCCCGCAGACAAAGCCTGGCACACCTGACCACACAGACACAGCATGTCCAGCCTTGGGGGGATGACCCACGTAAGACCAGCAGACCTCTTAGTCCGGGGCTGGAGAAAGCAGCCGGGTGCCAGGGAGGACAGAGGCAAACGCCTGCCACCATGTCCTTCCCCCTAACCGTGCCTTCGTACTGCACAGGGCAGAGAGCCACAGCTCCGTCCGAGCGCTCGCCCTCCGGCCAGGAGCACGGGGAAGCCCCGAGGAGTGACCCTGGGTGCTGAGGGAGCAGAGGGGAGCACGGGGAAGCCCCGAGGGGTGACCCTGGGTGCTGAGGGAGCAGAGGGGAGCACGGGGAAGCCCCAAGGGGTGACCCTGGGTGCTGAGGGAGCAGAGGGGCTCCCCCGGGAGCTCCCCCCGGCCGCACAGCCCCGCGGGCAGTCTCCCCCCCGGCCGCATACTCGGCATGCACAGACACTGTGCTCATCGGCCGGCCGCGGCACGCGCGGCAGCCGGCTCCCAGCCCAGGGCTCGGGGGCTACCTCCTCCATCCACCCGCTACTGGGACCGGGCTGGGACCCCCCCCCTCCAGGGGAAAACCTCCACATCCAACCAGAAAGGCTACAAACCACAGGGGAAGCTCAGCTCGGAGAGCTGCCGAGATCTCCAGGAGCGTGAAAAAGACTTCATGCTCTAAGGCTCAAACATTTAAAAGCAAGCAGTATCCTTTAAATTACTACAACTGGGGCAAGGGGTGGCATCTGCTGGGTCTTCATACCATAATAAACTAAAGATGAAGGCAAGCAGACCTGGAAAAATTAAAGTCTCTTTGAGTCCATTTAATTGTACATTAGACAGCTTTTTTTGGTGCTTAGCTTCCCTTCACGATTCTTAGCCGTTTCAGGGAAACAGAAAGTAATAAGCTTGTAGATATGACTGCTCCATTCAGAGTTTTATTTTCTCTTTCTTAAGGCACACAGTAACGAGCATTATACAACAGCCATAATAATAATAATAATCACAGAATCATTTAGATTGGAAAAGCCACTTAACATGGAGTCCAACCATTAACCTAACCCTGCCCAGGCCACCAGTAACCCATGTACCTAAGTGCCACATCTGTCCAACATTTAAATACCTCCAGTGATGGTGACTCAACCACCTCTCTGGGCAGCCTATAATAATTTAGTTTATATAGGATTTATTAATTTAACAAAAGCCTTTGAATTATCTAGCACCAAGACACAGCCATTCAGCCTTATTATTGTTCTCCATGTCACAAACCCCCCAGAACCAGAGAAAGCCCCAGTGCTACAGCCCCTGGCAGCGTGTGGGAAAGCTGGGAGGGGGGTGGAGGGGCAGCCCCCCCCCCCCAGCACTAGAGAGGGGTCAGGCTGTTCCCAGGGCCAGCAGGGCCACCAGAGCCCCCAAAGACTTCCTGGCCAGGGTGAGTCCAGTCCCCAGGCCCAGGCTGCCTTTGGCAGGGAAGCCGCAGCAGCCGGAGCCAAACGTGGCCCCGACACCTTGGCGGTCGGCAGAGAGGGCACGGGCACCACGCTCCCAGGGCTGGCATCGGGAAACAGCACTCGGCTCTGGGGCTGGCAAGGGAAAAACCTCGGGCTCTGAGGCACAGGCACTACTTTATTTCGGAAGCAGGTTTAGCTTCTTGGGAAATGAAGAAAAGCCTCTTTCCCCACTTTACAGGGCTAATAAAAAAGTAACACAGCAGTAAGTGTTGCAATAAACCTTTAGAATAAAAGGATTTTCTGGACACTGAAGGAGGGAAGAGACATGTTTTTGCACTTAGGATTCTACACAGTGTTTGATTTTTTGGGGGTTGGGTTGTGGGCTGCGCTTCTTTTTTTTAAATCATGTTTACTCTCATCTCCTGAAGCCCAGAGGCAACACAGGAAGAGTCAGAGTCTGCCCCCAAACGCTACCCAAAGATATGCCCAGACATTTTTCCACTCATCAAAAATGCAAAAAAACACCAAATTGGTCCAAACCCCAGTGAAAGGAAATGGACCGATCTGGGATGAAATACACAGTGGGGATCAGAAGGCTTTGTGCCTTTTTGTTGTTGTTGCTATTTTGTGCAAAGGGAAGGCAAAATAACCGTTCTCCCCCAAAACATCAACTCCAAACCCGGGGGGCTGCGCCACAGGGCCCCCACCTCAGCCCTGCCACAGGCTGCTGGCTCCTCAGCAGCACTCGGGTGCTCAAGGGACAAAGCCCCGACTTCTCCCATTGTTTGATCACTGAGGAAGCCAAAACCTGGATGAAGAGACACAGAGGAGGATTTGCCGAGGGCTCCACGAGGTATTCCTGCCTCCCCAAACACTCCTCTACAGCCAGCCTGGGAGCTGGGAACTATTTCCTAAGGAATCCCAACAGCATCATTAGTGCAAACACGAGAAGGGGAAAGAGCAGGGCTGTTCACGTGCCTTAGACAAGTAATCGCTCACAGAAAAAGAAAACTCCCCATAGGAAGCACAAGGGGAGGAGAAGGGAAGGAATAAAGCAAGAGAAGAAAAGCAAAGTGAGATTATTTCTGTCTCTTCTACACATTCCTTTACGGGAGCTCTGTCAATGTGGGAGAGAAGTGCAGGCCCGAGCACAGAGCTCTTTAAGAAGCAATATTGGCCAAGCTCTCCCTGGGCACGGCAGCTCCAGGGCACGCACAGGGAAGGGCTCTCTGTAGCTGTCCTGCTGGCTGGCAGCCGGGAAAACGGCACCGTCCCACAGCTCTGCTCTCAGCATCACGGACAGCGGGGAAAGAAACAAAACCTCGACATAGATTTAGTAACTCTTCTCTTGCTGCTCACTTATTGGCATCATTTCAATAAAAAGCTAACGTTAAAGCCCTAGAACCTACGTTTAAGCAGAGTCAGGTTGAAGACCTACAACCCAAGGGCCCACAGGACAGCCAGTAACACAGCTCTACAGGGGCAGGTCTGCTCATTGCACCAGAGACAGTGACCAGAACCTCAGACTTTAACATGCACCTTGCCTTCCTGCCTTTCTCTTCTACAGCTGCTGCTCTTCATGGTAAGGATATGAAAGGAAGGTGGTTTAAGATTTTTAATCTAAGCAGCTCTAAAAGCTGGAAAAAAATTTTCAAGAATCAGATAGCTGCACTTCAACAGAGATAAGGTACAGTATGGTAACTGCTACCAAACCTAACATTAGCAGTTTCATGTACCTCCAAACATTCATCCAACATTCCTCCCTTTTTAAGTTTTGTCTCAATTTCCTATTCATAGACATGACTGAAGTCACCCACTAGACCCCCATGCATTGTTAATCCATTCTGACATTCCATTTGATATACTCCGCCTTTTATTATTTGCGGCAACGGTTGAAAATAAGTGCACTTCAGCAGAGCAGTTCAGGAAGAGATTTCACATGGTAAATACCAAAGAACATAAATATGCTGTAACAAACGCTAGATACACCTCTCGAGTCATTTAAAATTTGAAATTGAGAAAATCAAGTTATTTGCAGAAGACTTGTATCCAACATTTTTACAAGGCTGTTTGCGAAGTAGCAAGGATGCATCTTTCAGGAGGTCACCTCCCAAAACATCCAGAAGACCTTCAGATGCACCACTCCTGCCTCTCCATAGTGCAAATACCCTTCTCCCTTTTTGCTGAGGCAAATCTTTCATGTGCTGTCATAATACCTTTGTGTGCACACAGCTCCCTAAACAATGTATGAAGGAGTCACCTTCCAGATCCAAAGGCCTTACTGGAGCAGCCATGGGAAAGTTACCCAACACCACACTAAACACTCCAAAGAGCCTCCCCAGAGGAAAAAAAAAAAATAATTGCTTTGAAGAATTATGATCCAAGTGTCCTCGGCCCAGGGGCGAGGAACTGCTGGTTACACAGCTCAGTCACTGCCAGCCCGACCAGGCTCCCCATTCCCCTCCCCAGGCCCCCTGGCAAGACCCACACCAGTCACGCAGGCTACAAATTCTGTACAGAAACGGGCAACAGACACCCTTGGAAGCCGCCTGCAATGGAGGAGCAAAGCTCTCAGTGCCCAGAGGAACCGGGGAAGCGAGAGAGGGGTGAGGGGTCTGGAGCACAAGTCTTATGAGGAGAGGCTGAGGGAGCTGGGGGTGTTCAGCCTGGAGAAGAGGAGGCTGAGGGGAGACCTTATTGCTCTCTACAACTCCCTGAAAGGAGGGTGTAGAGAGGTGGGGGTTAGTCTCTTCTCCCAAGTCACAGGAAACAGGACAAGAGGAAATGGCCTCAAGTTGCGCCAGGGGAGGTTCAGGCTGGATATTAGGAAAAATTTTTTCACTGAAAGGGTCATCAGCCATTGGAATGGGCTGCCCAGGGAGGTGGTTGAGGCACCATCCCTGGAGGTGTTCAAAAGAGGGGTTGATGTAGTGCTGGGAGGTCTGGTTTAGTGATGATGCTCCTTGTTTGTTGTGTGGGTGTCTATTTTTGTCAGTCAGGTTGACGGTTGGACAAAACGATCTTTAAGGTCCCTTCCAACCTAGAAGATTCTGTGATTCTGTGAGAGGGGCCCGCAGAGCCCCCCATGCAGGTCACTCACCTTGGCAGCTGGGGCAGGGGAAGGCCAGCAGCAGCAGCAGGGGAAGCAGCAGGACTCCATGGGCCATGGCGGAGCTGGGGAAAGAGAGGAGACGTGAGGGCTGTGCACACTTTCACTGCTGTCTTAAAACACAGCCACCCCAAAATCAGTGCTAGCAACCTCAGCCATCAATTCCCGATACAGAAGGCAGAACCAGGAGGGTTGATTGCTCTCCTTTTTACTGCACCTTGATTCCTAAGTCATTTCCTTCATTTATAAAACTCACTTACTGCAATTTCTTAAAACTGTTCAGGTTTGGTTTTTTTTCCTAGAGTCACAAAAACATCACATACAACTACAGTGCATGTACAGAAGCATGCTGGTAGGAAAACATCAACCCCTTCAGTGCCAAGCAGGCACGCAAAATGGAAGATATGTTCTTTCCACCACGTATTAAGAAGCTAAATTATTGTGAACTGAAAATAAGGTGTGTAAAACTGTGTATTATTTGGGCTTTGAAGGGAAATAGAAAAGACTTCAGAAAACTCTGTATAACTTTCTCTAAGCAGCAGAAACCATTGATAGACAGCAAGAAAAAACGAGCAAGTTGTATATAGGGAAAACACTGCTTTTAAGCTGCTTTTCCAAAGGTTTTCCTTTCAAGAGCCCAGCATCACTTCCCCACTGCCAAAGACAGGTAACTACAGCTTGGGTGAAAGCACAGGCTGTTCCCAGCGGATCAGAGGAGGCACAGGCCCCTCTACAACAACGAATGAGTGAATCCTCTTGTGTATTTCCAATCTTTTCCAGGATACTTGGTCCTTACAAGAAAATAAAAGCTCCACTTTTTACCATGAAACAATTATTTAACAGGCTTCCAGAAAGAAACTGTTCTGCAGCTTCTGAAATCCTGCATTTAAAGGATCCCTACTCCCAAGGAAGAGAGATGAAGCAGACTCAGCCCTCGCTGGGACAGAGCCCAACCAGCAGGGCTGGAGCCCTCCGAGGGCTGTCTCTCCTGCTGCTCGGCTGCTGCAGGACTGCCCCAAGCACAGCCATTACATTTTGGTCAAAGGCACAGGAGTAGGATGTGCAAAGTGAAGCTGCTCTCCCTGACCAAGGCACTGATGGCCGTTCTTCTTACGCCTAAGTATTTGTCTTCATTTTCCAGATTTAATTCTCGTGAAGCAGATGAAACTTAAAATAAATCTGACATTGCCGTTTTTCTTTCAGATACCTTCTGTTGCTGCCTTTTCAAATCATTAACTGGCTGCTTAAGTGCTTGGTGCCAAAAGCCACACCATTTACCTCTATATTTCCTGACATGGATTTGTTTTGCAGAATATGAGAAACATTTCAATAATCGCTTCACCATCAGTTACAATGATCAAAAACTTTCTGAACTCAGAGTTTTCACCCTTACAGAAGGGATCAGGCAGCGCTCACCACCCCCACCCCAGCAGACTTTCCACTCCGGAATTTGCTAATTCCATCACACACCACCCGCCCCCCCCCCCCCCCCCCCCCCCCCCCGAGTGAAACTCTCACTTTCAAACACCCATTCACCCAGTAACTTTGCCTTCCTCGTTCCTGATACACGTCAATGCGTTATTAACACGTGCCAATGTTTAACCTTCTGCAATTCTGCTGGAAAGGCAGAGAAATGCAGTTATACACAGCACCATCCTTGAGCAACCCACTATGGAAGCTCAAAGCAGCAGCACACTAGCCCGGGGAGCAAGTAGCTGCTCAGTGCTCCGGGTGGGCTCGGGGGGGTCCGTCGCTCCAGGGAGGGTGGCTGTGGGACAGGGAGCGACCCCGTCCCCCACAGCCCCCCCACACCAAGCAGCCTGTCCCAGCGCTTGCCTCGCACCGCACCCGGGGAACTCCACAAGCCCAGGTGGCTCAGGAGACCTGTCCCTGTTCCCTCACCACGCCGAGGGTCCAAAGAGCAGAGGCAGGACACGCTGATTTCAGCCATGAAAGGAGTGAGGAGCCGGGCAGCACTCAGGGGACAGGCAGCACGGGGAGCCCCCCGGCACTGGAGACACCCAGCACAAGGAAAAGGGCTTTACAAGAGACAAAAAGTGAATTTAACAACATAGGGTGGGTTAAGACCTTCAACTGCTGCTGACGCAGAGAGGGTTGTGCTGCCCACAAGGGCTGGGGGCAGGTCTGCCAGCACAGGAGGACCCACACACCAGACCCAAGCCAGCCGGAGCACTGGAATTTGAAACACAGGAAGCAGAAAACACTATGGAAACCAAGAAAACTCTGCAAGTCACACATACCTATTTGTTTCCTTTTCAAACAGATCAATTCCCTAAAAAGTAAATAAATATATAGACACACACACACACACAAGCCTCTGTCCATGTTTCTCAGGGGGAGGAGGAGCAAGGAAACCCAAACTGTGCCCCCCAGAAGAGGCAAACAGCCTCCCGTGGGAGCTGGCCCGCCGTGACCTCTTCCCATCTCTAGACAGGGAGCTGGAACACACTCGGGGTGCTAAAGTCATCCCCCATCCTCTGGTCCCACACGTCCCCAGCCCACCTCTGCGCTGCAGGCCAAAGCCAGCACAGGCTGGGACAGGCAGCAGTGCACCAACAAACTGGAGCATTTTTACCAGTCCTCACCAAAGAGATCAAATAAACAAAAATGCCACAAAACCACGACAACAGTCACTCTTGATCCCTCATCCAAAACATTGCTCAGACTTCTTCTGCAACAAAGCCTACCGAAGCTCCTTCATTGAGGAACGCACCTGAAATCACAGCAAATCTATTGTTAAACATATTTAAGCCTGTAGCACAGACCAGGAACAGCTTGCCCAGTGCCCTCAGAAGGGCCAGTTGAATGACCCATAAAAACCCCATCCCACATGTACTTATGGCCAACTCCAGTCCTGTCCATGTACGTGCAGACCCGGTGAGCTCTGGGGCTTCTGGCAAGTGCCCTGCACAGCCCAGTGACACCACCTCCCCCGGGGCTGGGGGACCGGAGCAGGGAAGGAGCCTCTGACCACTGCAAAATACTCAGTTTTCCTTCAAAAATTATTTGAGAGCACTCTAAAAATTAAAAATGGCAAATAAACCCTTCATTATATTAAAAGCACGTCAAGTCCTTCATCCCTGCTGTAGTCAGGTGGGCTCAGGCCAGGTCTGCTCCAGCCCAGGCCGTCACCCAGCACCAGCTGAAATCCTGCTGGAGCGCCAGGGCAGTGTCACTGTCCCTGCCCGGTTGCCATTTTGCTCGGGAATGCCATCCCTGCTGCTGTGGAATTAGCAGTTAAAAATAATGCAGGAGAGCAGGGCGGCTGCGGGACACAGGGCCGGGACAGGGCAGTGCTGGCCCCAGCTCCAAACCCCTGCGCCGGTTTGTAGCCACCTGTGTTCCCACAGCACCCTGTGAGTGGGGGCACAGAAACCCCACACAACCCCACACAACCCCACACAACCCCACACAACCCCACACAACCCCACACAACCCCACACAACCCCACACAACCCCACAGCTGGGCTTCTGCTGCTTCGCCTTCAGCTGCAAACGGCAGGCACAGCACCGGACAAGTTTAAAAGCCCTGTTTAAAAAAAATAAAAATTGCTTAAAAAAAATAAAAATTACTTTTTAAAAAGCTATTAGTAATACATAAGAATCAAAATCTGGTTCTAGCGACACCAGCAAGAACATCTCTTCCACTTACTACTTGTTTACAGAGGAAGAAAATGTAAGTTTCAATGTAAAGAACAAAACTCTTTAATAAAACTCGATAGCAAGTTGCTATGGATGTAGAGATCCAGAAGATATCCAGTTATTATCCACGAGGACTTTTACCAAAGAGGAGGGCTGGGATTTAATCCAGATAAAGAAAGAGGAACCAGAAAGCAACACACAAAAGGCACGTTCCTCTCTAGACACACCAACCTTGCCATGGTGTGGGGCAGCTCGGGAAGCCATCCCACAGTGGTGGTAGCCACCAGAGGGCATTGGGAGCCCAGCACCCCGAGTCTCTTCAGCCCAGCACCCCGAGCCTCCTCAGCCCAGCCCCCCGAGCCTCTCCTGGCACCCTGGCCAAGCTGGGCACAGGGTACCTGTCTCTGCACCTCACCCACCTGCACCAAGAAGAAGTTTGTTTGGGTTTAACTTTTCCCTACAAAAGCATGTAATTAGAAAACCTGAAACTTGCTCTAGATGATGATGGAAAAGTCTCCTTTAACGTGGAACTAACAGATTTCCTGACAAACCTGCTGTGAAGTGCAGACAGTGAAGAGCACCCAGCTCCAGAGTGGGACGGTATCTACTCCAAAGCCAGCTTTGGATTCCAAAGGAGGAGTCCATTGTTCGTTTAGACTTCTGAAACAGTTCAATAATAAGCATATCGCGTGGCAGATAGAATACTTGGTTAGAATACCCAACAACATACAGATGCACAACAAATTGTTTTAGACACAAGAACTGATGAAATTCTTAACAGTTTGCATTCATAAAGTCCCAACACTTTAAATAATCTACCCTGAAAACCCCAATGCCTTTTCCACTTCCATACCAAATCTGAATTGCTTTCTCTTTTCTTCCCAAGAAAGCTACTTGTCTCCTGCCAAATCGTTCCCTTGGGCCTGACAGCAACGTGGAGGGGAGGGAGACCCCAGGCCCCAGCAGGGACCACCAAGATCGGTGCTGCCACAGGCCACAGGGCAGAGAAGGGCCAGGAGACAGGAGGACATGAGCCACCACAGCAACACCACCACAGGCTGCTGGGACACTGTGTTTGGTCTCCACCACCACCTCCCCAATCCAGAGCAAGGGCTGCGCCAGACAGAAGAGCGAGCCCAATTAGTGCAGAAACTGGAGATGACGCTTCATCTCCATGTGACGCAGACATGGGCAGAGGAACCATTAGAGGAGCTCAGACGTCCCCGATGAGATCAGAGCACCCACACTATCGCTGGCAGCCCCGGTGGCAGCCCGCCAGGAGCCCCAGGGCTGCACATATTTTGCATGTACCTCACCAGATTTCTATCAAAAGAAAACATCCATACGACTGGATTGCAATTCTGCCATCCACAATAGCCACACACAAGCTAAATTCATCTAC